TGGGTGGCTGGTTGTAAAATATAAGTTGAGTAAAATTCCTCTTTTGGAGTTTCAGAATAGAGAAGTTGAGAGACTAGGATCACTGTATTGCTGAACAGAAGGGTCAGCAGGAATGGCGGGCATGAGCAAGCTGCGTTTATAAGAAAGCAGATACTGTGAGTAAGGAGGGGAGCCGGTGAGCAAGATGAGAGCAGGAAAAGAAAGAAGCTGAGGCACTGTGAGTAGAGTGCTGCCTCAGTTTCTGTGGTTCTTTTTTTAAAAAATTTTACCATTTATATTTAATAGAATTTAAAAAATTCATATTAATCCAATGCTTTATTTTTCAAGTTTTATTGAGATATAGTTGACATATAGGACTGAATGTTAAAGGTGTACAGCATAATGATTTGACTTACATACATCATGAAATGATTACCACAGTAAGTTTTGTTGAACATCTATCTTCTCATATAGATACAAAATAAAAGGAAAAAAAAATTTTTCCTTGTGATGAGAACTCTTAGGATTTACTGCCTTAACAACTTTCATATGTAACATACAGCAGTGTTCATTATATTTATTGCGTTGTACATTGCATCCCTTCTGTGGCTCTCTAAGAGTATTTCCTGAGGCCTGGCCCTACTGTGATTCCTATTGTCAGGTTTCTATGAGTCTCTGCATTATTATAAGCAAACAAACAAAATAACCCTCATCTGAGTGAACCCTTGCTTCCTTCAATAAATTGGCCAAAGAGTTATGTGTTCCGGTAAGCCCTTATGATGTTATGATGAGACATCTGGAAGAAAGCAGCACTGTAATCAAGAGCAGCAATATGCAGTCCCAAACTCAATGTTAATACCACTTCTTTTTAAAGCATTAGCTTAGGAAAAAAAGAGGTTATATCACTATTTCCTTTGAGACTGGGAGAATATTATGAGCTTCTTGTGTCAAAATCAGTCTTTATTTAAAAACAAATCAATCCCTAAACATAATTTTAGAAAGGAAAAGTAATTGCTGCTACAAATATCATAGGAAAATGACTATAAGTGACATAACATTGTCTGATGCTTATCAACAGTGGGATAATCACACCATCTTTTTAGATGACATGTTTCTAGATAGCTGCCTTTCCGTTTGCCAGCTGTTGGGACCAGATGGATTACTGAAAGTCTCCAGGATTCTTAGTCACATGACCACATTCCTCTCTCAAATAAGAATAATTAAATTCATTGAAGATCTTTAGGTAAAAAACATTGGGCACATGTAATCAATGCTCTGAATATGGAATACAATTAGGAAGCATTTTTATTTATGTCTCCCACTATCCCTATAAAATGTATTCACTGGGGAGTTTCTCACTCTGTCTAGGATAAAATAAAAACTAGGTAGTGTTAGGACAGTTTCGAGCATTCTTAGGCAACAGAAAGTCCTTGGTCACTCTAAATACTGTTTAGTGCATCTATTCCCGTGTTATACAATGTGGAACTTGGTTGAAAATTAAGTCTTACCCTTATCCCAGTGAGAAGCCACTTGCAGGTGGGCAGCTGTGGAAGGGGAAGGTCTTTCTCTTCTTGCTCCTGGCAGGAGGAAGATCCTTCTGGGGCTGGGGTGGGGCAAGGTGGGAGAAGCAGGGAGGGGCAGGAGTGTGGTCCCTTGAGTGATGAAGTTGTAAGATGGCCTCCAGCTTTCTGGGTCTGAGAAATATTTAAAGCAGACCACATTTCACAGAGACTTTTGCAGGTTCTTTGGAGATTGCACTCATAGCTGGTGTTGTCTCACTTGCCATTTCCTTGATTCAGGCAAATGCGCTCTCCATTTGAGCAGCCGCCTACTTCCTCAACCCCGAGGAGCCAGTCTTGCTCTGCTTCACCTCTTCCGAGGCCTGCCCGCACCCAAGGCTCTCCCCAGCCAGCCCTCTCTCCCGTTTGGCACACATCAATCCATGAAGATACACACACACTCCCTTTCTTCCCTTCTTCCTTGGACAAACTCAGGGCAGCAGACTCCCTCCTTCGCTCTGCACCAGAAGTGCTTGCAAGCTCTTCTTTCACATGATTTTCCAGAAGGGAGCTAAACCACCAGGTTCTTCCTACCCAGAGACATACATTAGGCTTTCTGATGAGTTCCACTCATGTCCCTTTTTCTTGACATTACATGACCTCAAGCTTTTACTTTGGTGGGAGGTGAGAGCACATTTTTCTCTTAAAAAATCCTCCAAATATCCAGCAGTCCTTATGTGATCTAGTATTTCCTTTGGAACGTAGCACCTTGTGTGTCTTGGTGCCTCAGCCAACACTTTAGTTTTAACACCCTGTTAAGTTTGTGGAGGATTTTTGTTTGCTTGTTTGAAATTCTAATGTCAGAAATGTGTTGTTTGGATGAAGTCTGTGTACATCCTACACACCTATGACCACATGGCTATACTCAAGCAAGAATTGCTCCAAAAAACAAACCTACAGCGTCTCTGGCCAGCCCTGATTTCTGAAGGGAACCAATGGATTCTCTCCTCCTTAGCTCAGCAGACCCTGAAACTCTTTAATCAACAATCCTAGGACACAGCCCACGTAGCTTTCAAGCTGTCTGGAGCAGGAAGAAAGGAACACACAGTGCCAAGATACATAAGAGGGCGATCTTGTCTATGGCCCTCTCACTCCTGATTGTATTGAAGATGTGAATGTCCTGAAGGGCTACTGAGGGACTTCTGAGCTTAGCAGGCTTGAGGACTAGAAAGACTGAGAAAGGCTAGAATAGAGAGGCCAGATACCTCTGAGGAATCAGGAGACAGAAGGGCTGACTCTGGATGAGGGCAGAAAATAAGGGAGGATACTGCTGCAGGGAAAAAAACCACCTTACCTGAGGTCCTTCACAACGTGAACCCCTATCTTTCTTATCAGTCTCATGTTCTTCACTCCCCTCACCTTCACTCCAGCTACACAAAGCCACCCGACATTTTCTAAATATGCCATTCCCTTCCACACTCTTTTATTTTTCACCTAATTTAAGTCTAATTTTCTATGATGCCTTCCTGCCACTTTCCTCATCTGGCTGCTGTACCATTTTTTACATGTCTCAGCTCCAGCTCTCACAGCACTTTGTTGTAGTGCTTTATTAACTTTCCTCTCTCCGCTGCCCAAGACAGTGAGTGTCTCTAAGACAAAGACTGTGCCTTATTCATTTTTATACTCCCACCACCTTCAGTGTTGTAGGGACTTCTATTAGTTTTCTACTGCTGTGTAAAAAATTACCATAAACTTAGCAGCTTGAAATAACACACATTTATTATCTCATGGAGTCTGCAGATCAGATGTCTAGGCATGGTGTGGCTGGATTCTCTGATCAAATTCCCACTGTGCTGAACCCAAGATGTAAGCCAGGGCTGTGATTCTCACCTGGGTTTCATGGTTCTCTTCTAGGATCACTAATTGTTGACAGGATTCATCTCTTTGAAGCTGTAGGACTGAGGTCTCCATTTTCCTGCTGGCTGTTGGCCAGGAACTACTCTCAGCTCCTAGAGGTTGCCCACAGTTTCTTGGCTTGTTGGCAGTTCACAACATGGAAGGAAGCATGTTTGCCTTCTTCCAGGCTAGCTGGAGCACATCTCTTTGATTTCATCTTCTGCAACCAGCGAGAGAGAACACTCTGCTTTTAAAGGGCTCACCTAATTAGACCAGGCCCACCTGGATAATCTTCCTTTTGCCCCATACTGTAACATAATCACAGCAGGGATATTTCATCATATCCATAAGTTCCACCCATATTCAAAGGGGAGGGAATACAAGGGTAATGGTTCATTGGGGTCACCCTAGAATTTTGCCTACCACAGGGCTCAATGAATATTTACAAAATCAAATAAGATGTGTTCCAAAAATTTATAAATTAGAAACAATGGCATTCAATTGTAAGATTTTTTTTTTCCTATTGTTACTTTGGAGGGCTTTTAAAGTTGTTTCTTAATTTGTTTCTTAATTTGGATCCACAATGGTTAAGAATGCTTTACGTGAGATAACACGAGGCCCCTGCAGGGAACCCAGGTAGTACAAGATATTTGGGATGGGTGCCAAGACCTGGTCTGATATCTGACTGTCTGTGTGACCTAAGCTAACTTCCTGAAACTCTCTGAATGTCAGAGTCCTCTTTAGGTATAAAATGAGGGGGGCGGGACTAAACAATGTCTAAGGTTGGCTAGCTTTAAAATTCTCTAATTTCTAAGACTAACTCATACTGATAAAATTAAAAACTAGCTAAGTGAATCACACTATCCAAATTCATTGAAATAGGTCTCAAAAGAATTTCATTACAGATGAAATTGCAATGATGCAATTTTAAGAGGAAAAGGCAGTTTTGTTTTTAAATGAATCCATTCCTCTAGTGGCTGAACCTGACTAAATACAAATAAGAGTACACAACTACATTTTTAATACTTTACATAAAATGGTGAAGAATATTTTTTCTTTAGATGACATATCTGTTCAGTTATGGTCAGATGTGAATTTTCCCCAAGATATTAAAACTTGATAGAACCACTGTCTTAAAAATAGCTGAATTAACTCAGTTGATGATAACTGAAAAACTATCAAAGGCAGTACTCAAATATTACAAATCACTTTACTGACTACCTGTAAAGCACGTTGAGATTTTTACATACATTTTGGGGTTTAAGTCTTTTGTTTTTCTCAAACGAAGTGTCTTTGGCTAGGATAATTATTCTCTTCTATCCAAAAAAAAAGAGCTCTAATTTTAAACAGGTATTATTAAATTCCTCTGAGATAGACTTCATGCAGATGTATTTGTTAAAACATCCTTTTATTGACTGTGCACAGTTATTAACAATTCACATTTCACTTTATCTACCAAGTGGAAGAACATTTATTCTTTCATTAAAAAGTTAAGCCCTGGGCTTCCCTGGTGGCGCAGTGGTTGAGAGTCCGCCTGCCGATGCAGGGGACACGGGTTCGTGCCCTGGTCCGAGAGGATCCCACATGCCGCGGAGCGGCTGGGCTCGTGAGCCATGGCCGCTGAGCCTGCGCGTCCGGAGCCTGTGCTCCGCAACGGGAGAGGCCACAAGAGTAAGAGGCCCGCATACAGCAAAAAAAAAAAAAAAAAAAAAAAAAAGTTAAGCCCTTAGGGCAGCAACAGGGTCACAGAGCATTTTTCCTATAAACGGCTCTGTCCAGTGAATGTGAAATGCTTCCATACTAATACAAAGGAGAAAAATAAATAAAACAAGTAGATTTCTCCCGCCTTCCATCATCCCCTCCCTGCCAATACACTCCTCTTATTTTATAAAATGCCAACAGGTAAACAGTTCCCACATTGGTACTTCCATTAATCACAAGAGGAATATTACCATTTATTTGGCACCACTGAGTTCAGAACATCCTTAGAGCTGTGTGAAAGTGGCAAAAGGAGCATGAGGCCACAGTCATTTCCTCAGGAAAATGAGTTCTGGACAGAGAGGGTGGAAAATCCTGAGGGCGTTCATCAGCCTCCCGCACCTTGCTGCTCAAGTTTCTGGAGCTGTTTTTCAAGTTTTGAGACGTCTACTCGATGCATCATCAGAAACTGGCCATTCAAATGAAAGACTGGGATGTCAAATTTATATCTGTCATACCAAGCAGAGTTTTCTGGAAGTGTGATGTCCACCTCCTGTAAAATAAACTGAAACAGAGACAGACTAAAGCTCTAGATTTCAGAGAACATGGAACAACGCAATGGCTGTAGTGACAAACTGATCCCCAGACTGCTTCTAATGCTGAGAGGTTTTTACTGTTGTTGTTTGAGGTCCACAGTCAGCTAATGACCCTGAATTCCATAACCTGATTGATTTCTTTACATTCCCTAATTTTGCTACTTTTCTGTTACATCTGTTAGGTTCAGCATCCAGGTACTACTCAGTTCCCAATGAAATAAACAATGTCCCAACTGGGAAGCTGCCTGAGAATCAAGAAAGACATGTTTTGGCTGTAAGATTGGGAAAGGTGTCATGGTTTGCTACAGGAAAACACTTTCATGGAAATGACAACATAAGATAAAAGGAATAGGGACAAAAACTTAACAGAAGGCCCAAATGCTGTACCTGCTAGTTAACTTTGACTCATTTTAAGAGTCAGAGTAAGAAAACCAGTACTGCTCAGAGAAAAACACTTAGGTGTAATGACTTTTATGGAAATCAGCACTAAAATCTCTCTCAAGAAAATTTAAATGAAAAAATCATTCAATCTCTTAAAGGATCCAGGCAGATACTTTATACTACATACAGTATCTATTCCATATACATAAAGCCACACTGTATTATATTACCCTGTTTTTATAAGGCTCCAGTACTTCCTTGGCTTCATCACAAAGGGGGCACGGATCCTACAGGACGAAAAAAGCCATTAAACCCAAAGAATGGCATTCAGCCTGACAAAAACCACAAGAAGCAGATTATACTTATTTTAAAGGACAGTTTTCTACCAGGTTATACTGTTTTATTTTCCAAAGCAAAACACTGCCACAGAATCTTATAAATAGCTAGTATTTCATGGTAAATGGGCTTTCAGCATTTTTTAGTTGTGTTTTGATTTTTCTTGACAAATAAATCTATCTACTAAATGTTGATGCTTATATTTGTTACACATATATGTGTGTATATATATGTACACACAATACATTTAGATGCTTACATTTTTTTGTTACTGCCTTCATCTAATTGATATCTAGGAACATTATCTTCCATATCATTTATAGTCCTAGGGCTTTGTCCTTCCTAGGTCAGGAGCACCTTCCAGGCCTGGCTGACATCACCAGAATGTCTTAAAGTCTGTTTTGATTGGGGGGCACTGAGATTTGCCAGCCTGTTTTTCTGTGTTTTGGTTTTGTTTTTGTTTTTTTTGGCCGCGCCACACGGCTTGCAGGATCTTAGTTCGCCGACCAGGGATTGAACCTGGGCCCATGGCAGTGAAAGTGCAAAGTCCTAACCACTGGACTGCCAGGGGATTCCCAAGCCTGTTTTTCCTAATAACCCATTGGGATGGAGTTAGATAGTGATCGTCCCATCTTTAAAAGGGAAAAATCTCTTTACTTTGGGTGATGATTGTACCAACTCTTCAATGTTTTGTCAGTTTTCTCATTACAAGTGTCAGCAATAGGTTTCCCGACTAACTCTCCACCTTAGGAGCAAGTGAGTTTTAGTGCCCATTGTTGTTTGCACCCTAACCATCTAGAGGAGAAGTCTGCCGAGAATGCTGTGGATCATTGGCAGATTTTAAAGGCTTCTCAGGCCTTGACTCAATGAACAGGTACTACTATAGGTTCTCTTGTATGAGCTAAAAATAGATTCAACATTACTGATGCTTATATAAAACCTGCTTTTTAACATGACAGGAAAAGATGAGCTGTTATGGAGGCCCTTCTTCCAGCTTAACTCACCTTATTTTGAAATAAGAACCTGGATCATCAAAAGACAGTTTTCCTTCAGAAAGGTCCTTCTGGCCGTATTTTTCTGCTTCAGGGCTCATTATGTTAGTTTAGCATTATCGATAAATAGATTATGGATAGTCTGTGACTTTTTAAAAAATTATTTATTTATTTTTGGCTGCGTTGGGTCTTTGTTGCTGTGGTGGGCTTTCTCTGGTTGCAGCAAGCAGGGGATACTCTTTGTTGCAGTGCACGGGCTTCTCATTGTGGTGGCTTCTTTTGTTGCAGAGCACGGGCTCTAGGCACGTGGGCTTCAGTAGTTGTGGCGCATGGGCTCAGTAGTTGTGGCGCACGGGCTTAGTTGCTCTATGGCATGTGGGATCTTCCCGGACCAGGGCTCCAACCCATGTCCCCTTGCATTGGCAGGCAGATTCTTAACCACTGAGCCACCAGGGAAGCCCAGTCTTTGATTTTTAAGATAACCACGTTAAAATTCTCTGAGAAAGTTTCAAAAAGTCAAGAGAGGATCTTAAAAGCAAAACAAGAACCAGTGAAATTGCAGAAGTACCAAATTTGGTAATATTTGCTTTTATAATAAAAAAACTTTCGTAGAGCTAGGATCAGGTTTTTTATTTTATTTTTTTTAAAACACAGAGAACGGGAATTCCCTGGTGGTCCAGTGGTTAAGACTCCATGCTTTCACTGCTGTGAGCCTGGGTTCCAACCCTGGTTGGGGAACTAAGATCCCACAAGCTGTGCAGTGCAGCCAGAAACAAAACAAAACAAACAATCCAGGGACTATGGAAGTCTGGGCAAATTATCACGTTTGTATATATTTTTATGAGGAAAGGTCATCAAATTTTAAAGAAATCTATGAGCTGAAAAATGACAAGACCCAGTGGTCTGGAACACTTGTACATCCTTGTCTAGGATTTTCAGTGGTGCCAATACAGCACTTATTTACCCTATCCCTGAATTGTAGTGGACATTTGGTGGGTTGGCTGTCTACCACCCACTCCCCTTTCTTGTAGCAAGAATGCTGTGATTTTGCCTTACAGAACTGCTCTCAGCATGTGGCTGACTCCTCCCTGAACGGGGGTGGAACACCTGATTTAGGCTGAGGCATCCAGCACATCGTAGCCCTTCGACTACAAATGGCTCAGGTATCGGCCAATCAGAGCCAAAGGATAGTGTGAGGGTTTTGCTGGAGTTTCTGTAGATACCTGAAATGTGAGATCTGAGGCTTGGGATCGCTGCAGTTATCCATATGAAGAGCCAGAGTGTGAACTGATTTAACCTGGAGAATGCAGTGCTGAAGAGACTGGTAATGTGCTTAAGTTTCAGAATCAAGCTACTCCTGAAACCAGACTAACCCATAAAATCCTTTTTTTGTTTAAGCCACTCTGGGTAGTACTTTCTGTTATTTATAACTGAAAGAGACCTGATACTGTACTTTTTCTTTCAGAGGACTGTGAACTCCGGGAGGTGAGAATAATGTCTTATTATATGTCTAATGACACAAATGAAGGGTTTGGTACAAATTTTAAGCTGAATGGAAGATTAGTGTGTTTTGCTTTGGCACATGTTTTTGGCTAACTTGGCTGTTGTTCAAACTGAAAAATAGTGCAGAATAGTTAGGCTGAGTGAGCACCATTAGCCTTAAGGGATTATTTTATTTTTGTGGTTAATTTTCACATACATTTCTCATATGTAGACACAAATGATGAAATAGTTTTGTTCCATAATAATGCAATATATACTTACGAATATGAAAAGTAAAGATTAACTATTTTCAATAAATTTTTAAAAGACTTAAACTTTGTTATTAGATAACTGTCAGATATATTCAAATTGCTAAAATGTCTGAAATCTGAAAAAAATCTATCAAACAAGAGACCTTTTTTGTTTGAATTGCAGTATTATTCACTAAAGGTAATCCTATTACCCTGAACTTTATTTCCTTTTTGATTACAAATCACACAAAGTAACGTTAACTAGCAAAAGGAAATCCATAATATTTGTCTTATAAATTTTAGAGGAAAAAGCTCTTAAAAATTTAGACTTGCTTTATAGCTTAAAACCAGTGTTAGGGGTAAGAAAATAAGTACAGTCAGTCCATTATTTGTGGATTCTGCATTTGCGAATTCATCTATTAGCTAAAACTTACTTGTAACCCTAAAATCAATACCCAAGTTTTTGTAGTCATTCACAGACATGCAGGTGCATAGAGCAGCGAAAAATTTGAGTTGCTCAAAGTGCACATTTCTGGCTGAGGTGGGACAGGATGATGCTCTGCCTTCTTGTTCCAGCTCTCATACTGTAAACAAGTGTCCTTTTCTACTTAGTGCCACTCTTTTTGCATTTTTGTGCTTTTTCTTGGCTATTTTGCAATTTAAAATGGCCCAAGCATAGTGCTGAAGTGCTGTCCAATGTTTCTAAGCATAAGAAGGCTGTGATGTGCCTTACGGAGAAAATACTTTGTTAGATAAGCTTTGTTCAGGCATAAGTTACAGTGCTGTTGGCCCTGAGCTCAGTGTTAATGAATCAACAATATATGTTAAATAAGATGCCTTTAAACGGAAACACACATAAAACAAGGTTATGTATTGATCAGTTCAAAAATGTTGTGACCAGAAGCTCATAGGAACCTAACCCTATATTTGCCCTAGGAGCAGTGGTTCAGTACTTGCTAATTCAGTGTTCGTGGTGACTTTATTGAACATGACTATCACAAATAATAAGAGTTGACTATATTTCTAAGTGATACACTTGTAAACATCTGATAGTTCTTTTCTTTCAATGTATGGATCAGATGACAATTCAATATATTAATTTACCTCCTGATAACAGTGACACAATGAAGTATCTGGGTAGGATAAAGAGTTACCACTGTTGTAACTGGAACTGAAAAATTGAGGAGCATGTCTGAAGAAAATTTATACCATTGCTTTCCTTTCAACATTTTTCCCCTTTCTTAAATGTACAACTTTCTTCACCCAACATTTTAATCCTTTATGTTTTTAAAGTAGTGATTTTACTTTTTATTCTGTACCTTTGTGAATAAGGTTAGCACAGGCAGAGCAGTCTTGGAGGCAGATAGATTTCTCAAGAGCAGTTGAAAGGAGTGTTTGGCAAGTTGCATGCTATTTCCTTGAAACCAGAGCATCTTAATTCTGCCAAAAGAAAAAGAGACAGTAAACTTATGTGCCCTAGACTTTGCTCTTTATAACAGAAACAGTAAGCTGCAAATCTATGATGGAATTTGAAGACTTCAGATGTGCTTCTTGGTGTCCAGGAGTGTCAGAGAGGCCAAGATGTTTGGCAAGTCTTCATGATGCCTCAATATTCACTGTATTCCAAATTTAGAATTTAGAATGGAAAAAAATCCAAATGTATGGATTAGTTGTATGTCTAATCACTTGGTTTCTGTAAGCAAATTCCATGGGTTTGTTAATTAGAATAAAAAATTAAATTTCACCTGCAGATTTTGCTAGCATCCTGATGATCCCCTAAAATGTGGGAAGTTTCCTGAAATGGTTTTTATTCGCAGAGATACCTTATCTTATAGGTAAGCATTCAACAATGCCCAGCCACCTTCATGGTAAAGGAGATAGTAAGCAAGAAGCACAAGTCTGTACCTGAAGGTTAAGGCTATTACTTATGAGATTTATGCCCCTCTGCTGCAAGAGGTGGGGAAACACAGAGCTGTCCTTAGAGGAACTTATAGGGGAGGTTAGGCTGAGTCAACCTGTCAAAAACAAAAATCTACTCAGCTTTTCTAAGAAGTGTTTTAAAAGGAAATGGTCATCATTTTTTAAAACATCCACAAATGTACTAGTGTTTCTACTGGAGATATTCCAATAAGAACAGCTTGGTAATAGCAGCATGTCAAACACTAGGCTTTGAAGCTCTCTCATCCTGCTACTTTGCTCGACATAAGACACCCTACTTATTCCTAGGTATTCTACTGAGCCTCCAGCTTTGTCCTTTAAACTACAGATATGATTATTTCACTTTTAAAACACATATGCACTGTTGACTTTATCACTTATCAATATTCCTTGCATGAATTCATTCCTGATATCTTCATTTCTTAACTTCTCTTTATCTCTCCAACTTCATCTATCAGTTTCACCTCCCTTATCTTGGCAACTTGCAACACAAAGATTCTCTTTCTGTTCCTTGAATAACCAAAGATCATTTCTTCATCAGGATTTCTGTACTTGCTGTTCCTCTGCATGAAAAACTCTTAAGTAGCTTCTCATCTGGCCTGGGCTGATGTCACCTCCTTAGAGATGCCTTAGTGACTACCTTACCAATGTGGGCCAGTCCACCACTCTTCTTCCTCATATCTTGCTGCAGTTTTCTTTTATCCTTCACTATCTAAAATTATTTCTTTACCTATATGTCCCCTCTACTACAACATGAGTTCCATAGGAGCAGATACTTGTTCACCCCAATATTCCCGAGCATCTACAATTAACCCGGTACATAGTAGGTGTTCAAATAGTTGTTCGAATGTTAATAGTACTGGAGTGAGCCTTTCCCTCCATCTTTAGTCTCACCTCTAACCCTGATCAGACACTCAGTGTGCACAGCAGTCACTATGTGGGCGGATCTCATATCCTAACTAAAAGTCAGTGCTCCTCACGGTGTCCACAAGATGCAGGCCAGGGTGCTGCAGCTGGTCCCAGCCCCTTCACCACCACCTTGAATCTCCTCCTGCTCTGCTCCAGAGAGCGTGCCTGTAATAATTATGTACTAATCTCTACTGGTGAGCAGGCTTCTCAGCATAAGATTAGCTTTAAACTCATTTCAAACAGAATGATATGACTTTAGAGAAAAGCACTAAATCCATATCAAAAAAGAGTAAAGAAGACGGGACAAAAGGATTGGATTCTGATCTGTGAAAACTATAATCTTTCCTTCTCTCTTAAATCCTTAGTCTTCCACTTCTCCCTGGATCTCCCTGCTAACTAAATGGTCCTGATAATGCATAAAAAAGGAATGTGATAAGGATTTTGCAAGGACCCAGCATTATTCTAAGGAGGAAAATGGATCTAAACAATTTCACAATACGCTGTGCTGCTTTCAACTAAGTGATAAGCCCTGGTATACATATGTTCCATAAATTCAGCAGAACCAACAGTCCAATAGGTGAATGTGGTTGGAGACAATAGCTTCCAAACATGGCTCTGTCTACAGAGGATATAAAGGAAGGGGAGGGCTTCCCTGGTGGTGCAGTGGTTGAGAGTCCACCTGCCAATGCAGGGCACGCGGGTTCGTGCCCCGGTCCGGGAGGATCCCACATGCCGTGGAGCGGCTGGGCCCGTGAGCCATGGCCGCTGAGCCTGCGTGTCCGGAGCCTGTGCTCTGCAGCGGGAGAGGCCACAACAGTGAGAGGCCCGCGTACCGCAAAAAAAAAAAGGAAGGGGAAGTATCAATGGAATGCTAGCCATGTTTACGACAGGTAGAAATTTCTGCATCGATGGTTTTGGCAAGGCCTTACGCTAACAGTGGCACACCCTCCTAGGGTATGAAGTTAAAGAAATTGTATAAAATGAAGGAGAAAGAAAATTTTAAAAATCAGTTTTGTGAGAGTAAAGGTAGAAAGATAGCTCTTGGAAATGAGAAAGAGCAGGCTATCTAAGGCAGTGACCTAAGGTTACAACCAGGACAGTGAACGGCAGCTGTGTGCTTTTGGTGGAGCGATTTAAGATTTATTGATGTCAGGCTGGTAAGGAATGGAAAACTTACTGCTTTCACCTAACTGAGTTGAGACTGAGGTGTTAAGGCTTTTGTTAAAAAAAAAGAAAATTCACATTCACAATGGAAATCTGCTTCAGTATTTCCAACATGACGAAACACAGCATGTGGTCTTGGTTGCAACCAAGACAAATAAAACCTGTCAGAGTAAACAGAGTTGCTCTTCTTTCCAGATTTGCTAGAATACTTGTTCAACCAACCCAAAAAGCTAAGTAAAGTCTTCAGAGATGCCACAACCATCTTGTTTAAAACTAGTTCTCTTTTCCATGTTAGTCTCTATTTCTCCTTTTTTAAATATGTATTTAATCACTTAAACATGGCACATTTGTTTACTGAGAAATGCATTAGCATTATGCAATTTTACTACCTGCATATTTTCCAAATGCTCTAGCGCACGAGGACACGTGCATTTTACCATATTGTTAAATTAACTTATTTCTTTGTTGGCACTGTATTATAAAATTATATTAGAGTCTGATACAAAAAAGAATTCCCATACCTCTCCTAGGCAGAAATAAGATATTATGGCTAAAGTTCTGAACACTGGAGTTCACTTTGTTCTAGAAATAAAAAGTAAAATGAAAAATGATACACTCCAACTGGAACACCCCAAACCCTAACACCACTGCTGTCAATGTCACAGTCACCCCATCATGCTTTCTTGAAGTAAAATCTTAATATTGGCTACGCTGACAATGTGACATTTTCATTAGTTCTATTATTTTTGAACAGTATCTCAGCACTATAAGAAATACTCTGAAAGGTGGTCTATGCCTGTTGGCTCATGACTGTGGGAGGACAGCACCATTTTGATTATGTCCCTGAATTTAGTCATGAAGTGTGTGTCCTTACTATACACAAAGACACAATTTTATCCTCTGTATTTTGTTACATGCCTCTGTGATATGAGCAAAAAGAGATGTGTTCATAATATCAAAGAAGCACAATTGGGTCACCTTTGTCACAGACAAAAAAACAAGCATAACACTGGATTTAGAATGTGCCTAAAACAAATTCCACAGCCTAACAATAAAGATGGTGACTCCTGCTGTTTCAAGTCCACTGCCGCTCAGAGGCATGGATCACCCTGAAAGAGAAAGGGAATGCTGGCTTTTCAACAAAACTGAGGCCGACTTCAGTGGTCTTTATGGCAGAATCAAATAACAACATGGAGGAGGACTCACTGGACCAATTCAGCCCTCCTTGAAGCAAGATATAGAATTTTCCCTGCGAAGCACTGAAGGACATACCATTAAAACAACTGATTATTGCATAGAAGGAAGCCAGGGTCATTTGAGCCTTTATTAAGGATTATTCATTTCTTGCATGAGGAGCCGCCCGGGCTATGGCTGCACATCACCTATGTGGGGTTCTTGGATTCTTCAAATGCTGTGTGTGTCTCATTAGAAGGGAAACAACATTGTTCTTGCTTGAGTAGAGACACTGACCTTCACTGACCAGAATGTTTATTCATATGAAGAGTCCTTGAGCACACCAAATCTCCAAGCTCATATGATCCCTCATCAGCAAGCTGCAGCGTTCTTAGCTCATGTGCAAAATCAGAAAGTTTATATAAACTCAGGTACTGCCTTCATTATTAACAGATAATGTTGGAGCTTCTTCACAAGAATACAATGTAAATTTAATGCTGAGCAGACATTAACCAAACACTATTACCGTCACTCTCGCTGAACCTGTGTTCCAGAAAGAGAGGCTCAGGGCTTCCGTCCCGTCATTTATGCCATGTGAGATGTTAAGTGCTCCATTTCACATTCTTTACCATCTAAGTACAGCATTCCTATTTTTACACAATGACTAGAAACACATGCGCGCGCACACACACACAAACACATCCCTCTCTTGGGAACAAAATCCATTATTTTAGATTACTGAAAGTTTATGTAATGAGGTGAGGTTGCTCTTAGGGGGCTCATCTGGGTCACTGGGCTCTACCTAATCCAGGGAAACAGGGACAAATGATGCCTCCCCAGTGGTCTTATATGCTTTTGGTCAGTCAGCTGTGTCCAAACCTCCCTCTCTCCCAAACAAGTGAGAGCCTACCCTAGGATCTTGGGTCCAAGTGTGGAGCCAAGAGTGACAAGGACACGCAGCATATAGAGACACAATCAAAGCTGCAAATTGAGCAGATACTTTGAGGTGTCAATTCCAAGGGGCAAAGCAGGGTTAGAATGAGGCTATAGAACAGAAACAGAGGGTAGGGGGTGGAAGGCAACCTGGAGCGGGGCCCTCACTTCCTGCGTGCGTGAGATCTCGGGTGCTTTTTCAGCACCTCAGCCACAGCAGTCAGGGTACCCGGCCAGGGGAACTGCCAAGGAGGTAGCACCAACTCAGACATGATATTACAACAAGGATCCCCAGCTCACCACCCACCTGTGGGCCCACTTGT